GGCTGGGCTGGAATGTAGCTACTGCTCTCCGCATTCCAGCCATTCAACTGCTCTGAAGATGGAGGCGCTGCGTTCCTCCGAAACGTCGGCCAACACGAAGAATACACGGTGCCTAAACCCAGAAGACGACTCTCTACTTTACATTCTATTTTAACAATCTGTATATACGAGTATAGNTGAAAGTTCTGTTGAAATGCATGGGATCTACATGCAGAACCGGCTGTAGGGATCAGACGAACATCGCCCATATCTGAGTAGGCACTGGTTTGTGGACACATTTGCCTGGGAATATTCGCTCATTTTATTGAGTACTTTNAAGAAAATATTATGGGCTTTACATGATTCTCAGGAGAAGCTACAATTATTTCCCTAAACATTAGTGAACGGAATGTTTCCTAATTGAGAAATATTTTGTAGCCGTGAAATAGGACATAAATATTTAATTCTCGTTCGCTCAAATAACTTAAGATTCCTGGGTCCTTGTTCACAATATTTAATTTGTGTGAATCAATGATTGAAGTGAAAAATCGCTCCTCATATTGAAAGGGATTGACATCTTATATGTATGTATTTCTCTGTAGATAATATATCCCAGCTCTATTTTATTTAAATTAGTGCTCGGTGAGACCGGAGTGTCTGCTTCCATATTTATTGTGTTTTGATATGCACGCACCCGTCCATGTAACTGAGTGCCGTGTTTGCAGATTCCTGCAAGCTTTACTGGCAGAGGGTGAAGCCTGCTTTATCTCCAGAAATATTGTATTTCCATTAAAACTGGCACTGCGCTAAATGTGACTTGCAGATATCCTCACAGGCGGGTGTTCGTACAAGCAATGCTGTTCATTATGATGTTAAAACTTTATTGAAATATACAACTTGATGTATTTTAGCATACATTATTCATTTTGGAATAATTGAAGGTGTAATTTGAATTCCCCTTGCTGTCTTTGTGTCTGTGTCTGTCAAAATAACTTTTTTGCTGCTTGCATGATGCCGTCTTTGCGTATGTACTAAGCCGTAGCCTACTTAGTACCGTCTCTTCTAAATACATATCCCGTTGGATTCACAATTTGTTAGACGAGGTGGTTCATATGCGGTGCGTGTCACGTCAGATATATTACTCTATATGTAAGATAAGGTAAAGTTGTCCCTGAGCTTAACCAACTAAGAACTAGGCCATGAAGGCGTATGGGGGTGTGGATGTATAGACATATATTTTTTGAACTCGGCATTAATTGCAGTGACAAGTTTCAAGTCCCGGCCGCTTTACTCCAGGGGAGAGAGTTCCAAGTACGCATTGTATAGGAGGTTTGGTAGACCCCAGAGCCGTCCTAGACGACACGGAGAGGTAAAAATTCTTCACTACAAAGACTCGAACACGGACCTCTCGGTCGTCAAGCCCGTTTGCCAGTCGCGACACCTTTTATTTCGCCAGGTAATTCGAAATAACACATAAAAGAAGCAGAACTGTGTCTTCACAAATCGCAATGGCAACTGGCAGTGTTTGAATTAATGAATTGTATTTATGATCATATGAAAACAGGACTCGTCACTACACTTAATTATAGCGCCATCGCTGATCTCCACAATTTAAAAATAACAACAGTCTTTTCAGTCAGCTGTGTCTTCACCAGTCGTTCCATGGCAAAGGCTTCCAGTAATGGAGAGCCTTCGGTTTCCGTGCTGGCTTCATTACTGTCCAGGAAATATCCCACATCTATGACCTCTAAAAGTCGATGTCAAAATCTTATTACGACTGGCTGTTTACAGCCAATTACTTCGTCTTGGCGTCAAAACAATTGAGACTCAGGATCAGAATGATTTTCTCTTTCAATCGAGCCCTTGCTACAATAGTCTTTACGTAACATCCTCTCTAACGAGAAGATAGATTATCTCTTATGAATACTCGTATGCCTGGCCTTTCGTCAAATGCACGTGTCGCATGTTATTGAATCCTTCCTTTTGTGCCAAATGTGAGTCTTCTGTATTTTTTATTTCTAGTGGG